CCCCCCCGGTTGTTCTCTTCTCCGTTGGGGGCGGGGGGGGGCATTCCGCGGTTCGCTTTCCCTTTTGGTTTCCTTTTGTTTGTTTTGGGGTTTGGCGTAAAGGCGCACCGCGATGAGTCTTTTCCTCCTGAGGGACGCGCCGGTTATCGGGGGATGGGGGCGATGGGGAGCCCGGCCCTGACTTCTTTCGCACCGTTGACGACGGCCGCAGGCGCGAGACCGGCAGTTCCGATTGGATCGGGTGGGACTCAATTTACCGAAACCTCCGGCTTTGGAGGTATTTATTTTTATTATTTTTCTTCTTTATTTTTCAACCCTTGCCAGGTGTAAACAAAAAAACAACAACTAAAGCCTTTCCACACCGACGTTCATCTGAAGCTCACAAGCTTAGAGACGGTACGGGGGTAGTCTGACGTGGTGGTCTTCGCCTTTTGAGGGTTGGAATGTTCAACACGAAGGGGGAAACCCACAACCACAACAACAACACCAACAACTCTCTTCAGGCTTGGCGCTGCTCGTGGCGGGATGACCAGATCCCACCACAGGTTTCGCGAACGGCCCATGGGCCTTCCCCGATCACCACCATCACTTCTACACCACCCCGCCGGATTGGCGATTGACGAATTCGTTCAAAATCAGTGGAAAAGACGAACCAACGGCTCGCCTTTTCGGTGATGGGGGCGGCCTCCCACCATCGTTGGGTGCCTACCCCAAGGCGATCCTCGCGGAAAAAGTGGAAACGGCGTCTTCGTTTTGCTGCTTTTCGACCTACGTTATTGATGCGGTATTTTTCGCGATGGGTTTTCTTTCCCTTTTGGGTCCGTCGCGTAACACCCCCCCCCCTCCCCCCGGTGGACTTTAATAGGGTATCTTGGGTGCAGTGGGACGTTATTGAAGTTCCATCTTTTTTTCTTTTTTTCTTTACGATGCCGGTAAATCACATCACGGAGGGAATGTATTAATGAATTAAACTTATTAATATTCTTTTTACGCTCAGACACGTAGTTTTAAGTATTTTTTTTTAAATTTTTTTTATTTATATATATATTTATATCTCTCTCTATATATCGATATATTTGCTACAAGGGAAAAAATAATCCATATCGTTAGGTCCCGGATTAATAGGTGATGATTTAAATAGCCTATTAAAGAAATGTATAAAGGAAACATGAGTGATGTACAGGTGCTCATCAAATAACATACACCGATACAACAATAGGATTCGTATCTGTTCCATGTGATGGTATTATTGTTTTGAGATCTTATCTGGTATTTTTAACCCTTTTTTCCTTCCTTTTATTTTATTATTATTTAATGCGATGCGTTGATAACTTTTGTGTAGACATCACAAGAAAGCCCAAGTCAGCCGTATATATCTATATATATACAAATAAATATAAATATAAATATAAATCTATATGTGTGGTTATATTTAAACGTTCCTACTTAAGTTTTCAATTACTTACGGATTCCCAAGTGGCGCTACGCCATCCCTCCCAACATTGTTATTCATATCATCATAACCCTAACTCTCATTATTATTATTATTATTATTATTATTGTTATTATTATTATTGTTATTGTTGTTATTATTATTGTTATTATTGTTATTATTCCTTATGGATAACCCACCCACCCTTCCGAGAGGGCCGCACGGCGTGCGGGGATGTGAGCGGCGGGACGTTTATATTTCCCCCCGCGCGGGCGCCATCCGCATTTTGTGAAAAAAAGGGCCTTTGCGCCCTTTGCCGGACCTTCATTCCCTCCCATCCATCGCGTTTGGCATTCGGACGCGCCGTATCCAACAACTGGGGGTGTGGGGCTTGTTCATTTTTGTTTATATTTTTATATTTATATATTTATCCATTTATATATTTATCCATTTATCCATCTTTATATATCTTTTTTTTGGTTTGGTAATGGCAAAGACAACGGCCTGGCGGGAATGGGGGATCTTCGAGCGGGCAAACCTGCCCATTGGCGTTGTCGGCGAGGCTCTTTGCGCGGCCCCCCCTCCCTCCTCCTCCCCAACTTCGATGGTTTTCAATATTTTTTTGGGAGGAAAATGACTTTGACGGCCCCATTTCCCGCACGAAGTCCATCGGGGGATCCCAGCGGGGTTCGAATCGGGATCATCGCGGCCGAT